GTGATTGTGTTGTAAGTGGTCATAGAAAACCGTGGACCAAGAGGAAAAGCTCCCCTCTTGGACAGCTGCCGGTAGAAAGGGCGGAGCCAAAGAGGCACATGACACGATGTATGCAGTAGGTGTGGCAACGTGTCAGGTTTTGGGAGGATCCAACGTAAAATTTGTTCATCTTGATGGGCTCAACACATTTACACGTGTTAGATGCCCACCGCCAGCAGTTGTGATAGTTTTACGGCGGGAATTCAAGTTAGTTATAATCTACCCACCACTACTTTTTGGAATTTTTTCCATCAAAACAAACGATTACTTTAAGTTCACTTCGTTATCCTCGCGGAACATTGGTCCAAAAGTAAGGATTTTTGGATGGGGAAAGAGTCCCAAGATTTTCGTGTACGATGCCTTTAAGTGCAAACTATTTCATTTCTAGGGTCCCAAAGCTCGATTGGAATTCCGCTACCAGTACTGCAAAGGGAGCCACCAACGTAAAACTCATTGTGATATGCTTAGTGGCCTACCAGCCCAGCCTGTCGATCACACCCGCAATTGGACAAATGCATACGTTCCAATGAAAGCCTAACCGGCCTCATAGGCCATTAGCCTGAGAATATACGATGCAATAGTTTCCGGACTTATTGTGGACCCTCAAGCTGATGATCAAGTTTCTGGAACGACAAACCTGGAAAATATAATCGCTAGGATTATGAGGCAAGTTGAAGACCAGATAGCACAGACGACCACATCCATCCTGAAACACGATTCAATCAGTGCTCTAAGGTGATTCCGGACGGGTAAGGGACTCACCTTCGGGCAAAGTAGCTCCTTGCTCTCCCTGGCATCTTCTTCGATCCATCCAGCTTCGCTGTCCTTCATGCGGAGATAACGGACCTAACATTCGCCCTAAGGCTTCGAGCGTCAGGCATGAAGGAAAATACTTTGATTTCCTACCTGATAATCAGTGGCCATGTCCAGTTCAACAGGTTCCCAACTCATTGAGACAGCAAAGTTGGTCTTATCGCACTGCTTGAGATTCTTGACAAGGAACCAACCGGGAGGCAGTGTGGCGTAAGCTCCCCAAGCCACCTAAAACAATGTCAGAGTTTAGGAGAAACCCTTGGGAATAAATTTCTCATCAGTTCTCACCTCACTGTGATCTTTAGGTTTGAGCGTGACATTGTAGACAGTGCTCGGGTGAAGGTGCACTCCGGAGCAGACTCATATGGCTCCACGTCGAACGTCTTTACCTGGTTGATGCGCACGTTCCCGTAGACGGAGTGAAGCGATCGAGCAGTCAGCTGTAAATTGGCTACTCAATTTTACACAAAATAGTAAACGCCCAGAGGGAGAGCATTTTCTTTGAACGCCTACGATCAGTGCGATTTTGGCTTCTTGCCAACTCATCAAATAACTACCAAAGTGATGAAGCACGTGCCAAAAATTTCGGCTAAATTCGACCCCTTCGCAGGCCTTGTATGATACAACCCCTCTCCCTCCCCTCCCACAAGCTCTTTCACAATTGTGAACACGACCTTCTCCCTTTCCACCACAGCCTCTTTCCACCAGTGTAGATACGAACTCCCTCCCTCTTCTCCCTCTGACCCTTCCACCCTCCCCCCCCCTTCATCGCCCCCTTCATATTACTCTCGCCAACCGATGATCGATGGTGGCATAGGTAGGATCGTTGAGCCAGGTACTACGCGACACACTTCTGACCTCACCCGCAAATCTAACCATAAGATAACTCCGAATATCCCCGAATATAAAAATGTACAACTTACGACCCTCCAGATCCCAAATAACGCCCCTATCTTCGGTGAGTACGACGCTAATTTCATCAAACATGTTCTCCTCCCACCACGGAAATACGACCTCCTAGATCGAGGCTTCTCACCCTTATAACTACCACAAAGTAGGACCAATCAATACACATCCAGCTTAACCCTAACCCTTACGATAGCCTTCTTCTTTCAAAAGCTCTTGAAATAGCCAGTGAATTTTTTACGAGCACTATGCCTATTCAAGCATACTCACAACGTAACCGCTGTGGCTGCGTCCCCAAACAGGCTCCCATTCCACGTGCAGCGTTGTCGGAGACCTTAAAATGAAACTATTAAAATAACTGTCCACAAGTGCAGGGCATTATCTCCAAATATGGGCGTGGCTTGGACGAGTTTATCGCTGTCACAATGCAAGTGCTCTTCAAAAAGTTGCATTCGAGTGTCCCGATGCCATGTACGCGACGCAACCGCCGGTAGCAGCGATAGCAATAACTCGTCCAAGCCATAACGCTTTTTCAGGAAAAGTTCTGCCAGTTTCCACAGATGACAATTATGAAAATACCCACCTGTTCACAAGTCGAATGATGTGTCGTTGTCCAGGTGCCAGGGTACTGTAGGTACCCCATAGTATGTGGCCATAACCCGAGCTTGTTCCTGCTTGAACGGTGATATTGTAGATGGTTTCTGGGCTTAGACCCTCGAACTTGATCGAATTGCCCGGTACGGGGACAGTGTAG